GCCCCGTTCTTCCTGTCATTAAAATCAAGTTCAATCATGGTGGGCCCCTTTAAAACAGCACTTCCTCAAAGTGAGAAGACTGAGAGTCAAACACATTGGAACACAGGAAAAGCAATTTGCAAATCACAGCAGCAACTCTTGACAAAATTCACAGTATGGGAAAATAAAAGAGAATGCGATTCATACTTTTAGCAAAAAAGGAGGAATTATAGTCTTGCAGCTTCTCACCAGACTAAAAGAATATGAGGGAATGTTAAGTAAGCCCGTTGTTATTTTTATTAAGTCATTATTTGTTAATCAGTAAGTACATGTTAGAATATTTCTTAAAAACAAGATATAACTTGGCTTAACTTTCAGTTGAGACCACCCATATGATCAATTGTCACTTTGAGAAGAGTGACTTTCTGTTTTATGTTTTGTTCTATTTCTGTCCAAGAAAGAAATGTTCACCTGAATATTGTAAGATAAGAGTGAAATAGAACACTTGGGTTTGATGTTCTGATCAGTTCTGAGAGGGTCATTAGGCAGAATGAAGGAAAGAAGGAATGCTTACAGTCATATCTCAATTAGAATAAACAGCTCCTAGCCTGGGTACGATGCCTCAAACCTGTAATTCTAGTTGCTTGGGAGGCTCAGATTAGGCAGGTGGCAGTTCCAGGCCAGTCTGCACAAAAGTTTGTGAGACCCCATCTCAACCAATAAAATCTGTGTATGGTGGTGCACACCTGTCATCCTAGCTTTGTAGGAATCATAAATAGGAGGATCCGGGTCCAGGCAAGCCCAGTCCTAAAGGCGAGAACCTATTCAAAAAATAACTAAAGCTGGCGGATATTGGTGGCTTGCACCTATAATCCTAGCTACTAGGGAGACCAAGATCAGGAGGAATACAGCTTGAGCAAATAGTTCGTAAGACCCTATCTGAAAATACTCAACACCAAAAAAGGGCTGGCAGAATGGCTCAAGTGGTAGAGTGCCTGCCTGGCAAGCATGAGGCTCTGAGAGTTCAAACCCCAGTACCACCACCAAAAAAAAGAAAGAACAACAACAACAACAAAACTAAAACAAAAAGAGTGAGGGCATGTTTCAAGTGGTAGAGTGCCTGCCTAACAAGCACAAGGCCCTGAATTCAAATTCTAGTACTACCCAAAAGTAAATAAAATATAAATAAACAGGTCCTAAGGTATGTTAGAGTCATGTTTTCTAACTCCGTGTTTCTCAACTCCATGCTGTAGTTATGGAGTTAAAGTTGTCAGGGCTCAAATTGCATTCTGGTTGTAAATAAAGCCCCTGATATTGCCTTGCCATGAATGATGAGGTGTTTTCTTAGGGCTGAGGAAACCACTATCTTTGAGCACTTCTTTCCACAAGGATCTTCCTTTAGTGTCTAGAAAGACCTTCTCTCTAAGACGTTGGGTACACACCCAGTGACAAGTACCTCCATGGTCTGCTCTTTTAAAACAGGGGACCTTGGGAAAAGGAGAATGTAGTTATAGTAATCTGCTAATCCTGTTCTTGTATATTTTTTAATTGTTACTTTTCTTACCCATTACTATTTATTTCTATTGCCCTCTTTCTAAGTTAGTGCTCTTCTTAGGCAATTATAGGTTGCATCCTCCAGAAAAAATACTGTCCTAAAAATTTACTGATTGAATAATATGTGCCTTAACAAGTAAAATTTATTTTTAATAAAATAACATTTCAGCATTTTTTACCTATCACTTGAAACATCCTGCTTACATAGACATTTGGTTTATTTTCCCTAGTATGTCTTAGGAGTTAACTTTAAAAAAAAACACAGTTTGCTTAATGAACATTAGAACTATTACATTAGCCTAAGTATAAATTTTTTCTACATATTTTAGATATTTCACTAGTGTTTAGGAAAAGAAAGGGTTCAGTCTCAGTTGAGGAGAATGAGAAGTTGGTTAAAGTCAGTGTTTAAGGATAAATCACACCTGTCAGCAATTTAGAAACAAACAAACAAAACCCCAAAGCTTTGCCCAAGTCTGAACTGGAGTAGGGAAACAGATGGTAATGCTGTCTGTGTGCTGACTGGTAGTGTGAACCTTCATACATCAAAATAATAAAGTGAAGCAAAACGTCATTGAGCATCAACGACAATGGGTGATTCTTCACGGTCTTTGACTTTCAAGCAAATAGAGGGTTGCTAAATGAGAATTAAAAGATGTCACCAGGGAATAAATTATGGTATATTCTTATCAGGTTCAAACCATTTTCTCTGTGACCAGATTCATAAAGATTATAAAAAGATATAACAGCCTGATTTTTTTTTTAACCAAGATTTGGGTAGGTCCCTCTTGTAGGTTGGAAAATGGAATTGGTTTTAATTAATCATAGAGTAGTTCCAGAAAAGTGTTGTCACTTTTACTGAGGGCTCTGGACTGCTTTAAATGGTTTAAACAGCTTCCTGTTTGCCTTTGTTTTTCCTTTCCTTTTTTTTAAAAGTATAAAGCCAAAAAGAATGGGAGAAAGATGGATAGATGTTTTTCTTTTGATCACTAACTTATGTGAAGAATTTCTAAGATAATTCAACAAGATATACTGAGACAGAATTATATTTTAAGTTACTAAAATATAACACACTTGATTTTATTTTAGCTGGCTTCTAAGTACTGGACAACATTCAGACCAGATTCCTATCTGGGTACTTGGGATAGAAATAAGACATTGAAATCATGCGCTGATGGCTCCCACCTGTAATTCTAGCTACTTGGGAGGCTAAGATCTGGAGGATCACAGTTCAAGGCCAGCCTGTGCAAAGAGTTCATGAGACCCCATCTTAACCAATAGCTAGGTTCAGTGACATGCACCTGTCATTCCTAGCTCCATGGGATCATGGTTCCAGGCCAACATGGACAAAAAGTCTGCAAGACCCCCATCTCAATGGAAAAAAACTTGGTATGGTGATGCTTGCCTATCATTCCAGCAACAATAGGAAGCCTAAAATAAGAAGACAAAGTCCAGGCTGGAGACCCTATCTCCAAATTAGCAAGAGCAAAAAGGGCTGGAGGCAACTCGAATGGTAGAGCACCTGCCTCACAAGCAGGAAGCCCTGAATTTAAACCTCAGTAGCACCCAAAAAAAAAAAAAAAAAAGTCAGACATCCAGCTTCTGTGCTAAGGTGGGAAAGAAAAAGTAGAACATAGTTGTGATCACTGAACAATGGGGATACTTTCTCAAAAATGCATATTAGACAATTGCATCATGTCAGTATCACAGAGGGTACTGACTCAAACTAAGATAGCTATGATTTCACTAGTGATGTAATGTCATAAACATTGTCATACATTCAGTCCATTGTTTGGCTGAAATATCTTTATGAAGCGTAGGACTGTGGCACATTTTTTAAAAACTAGAAGAATAATCCCTAACCTTCCATGAACAAGTGGGTCCACCAAGTCTTAGAGCCATTACCAAAATTGTCCTTGTTTATGCTAGATTTGGCAAATAGCATGGAAAATCCACTGCTATGCAAGAAATTGTGCACAGAAAATGAAATACGCTATTAGAAGTTAGCTCTAATCACTTATTTCAGAATTCATGACTTCTTCACATCTATGGTTTTTCTTTTTCACATAAGCTTAATTTTATTCTTCTGCCAGAGCTTAAGCTTTCTGTAGGTCAGAAATGATATGGTTACTACCTTGGCCGCAGTATCCAAAAGGTGGTCAGCAAAAAAACTCCTAGTTGAGGGGGGTGGAGAGGGAGGGGGGCGGAGTGGGTGGTAAGAGAGGGGGTGGGGGCAGGGGGGAGAAATGAACCAAGCCTTGTACGCACATATGAATAATAAAAGAAAACTCCTAGTAAACAGGATTCTCCTTCATCTGAAATAATTTCTGTGAAAGTCAGTACGGTCTTGTAGAATGAGACTGGTGTATTGAGGTCAATAAAAATGGTTTACTTCTAACTCACTATCCAACTAACCATGGTTCCTTAAGTAAGCTGCCTAACCTTTCTGTACTCCTCAGATTTCTCATCTTATAATAGATTTAATGATATTTTTAAAGTACATTATAATGATTAAGATATGACAAAAATATAATAAAAAATATATAGGGAACAGGTTCTTCTTGCCCAGCTGGTTGTGCAGCTGCTGTGGTGTCTGGCATAAATGGGTGGTCACAAATCATTTTTGAGCACCCATAACCCATGTCTGCCATTTTTTGGGAAACCTGAATGGGTACTGGTGCCATTCTATGTAAAGGGAGAATTTCCCTAATTAATAATCCAAGTTTGGATGTCTCAGGTTGTCTGCATGTTCTTCACTCTGCTGCTAACAAGTTATATGCCTTATTAGAAAGTTTGGCACTTTTACCTATGCTCTCCTTGTAACACTATTGGCCTGGCCACCCTAGGGGATTCATAGGTTTTCTTGAGCCCTTAATTTGTCACACTGGAAGCCCTTGGTAAGAAGAAGAGGCTGGGTCAGTCTGCTTTTCCCATAGCTCTCTTAAACTAGTATCATACTGACTTACTAAAAATACATATTTCAGGATATGACTGGAAAAGTCAACCAAATCAGGTTCAGAGTATGAGAATACTGTCTTTGGTACACTGAGTTGAAGCATCCTGCATGGAGAGTTCTGGCCTTTGAGTCAGACCCAAGGACAAAGCCATTCAAACACAGTCTGAATATATTTGACTTATGCCTGGCACAGTATAAATACTTCATTCTTTTTGTGAATTGACAAATATAAGCTGTCTACTGAGTGCCTACTTTATCCATTATTAAGGGAGACCCAGAAGAAATATATTGCATGAACTTGCATCATTTATTCTAGGAGGTAAGATGTGCATTTATGAAATATTTGAGCATTAAAATGAGTGGGTTCTAAGTGATAAAAATGAATGATTCAGAGTATTAGGCCATAAGAATTCAAAGAAGTTGAAGATCAATGAGGATGATCTTACAAAGTAGAACTTGAGGTAGATTTGGAAAGATGGAAGGGACATGTTAAGATGAGGCGGTTGGCATAACGATGAGTGGCAACAGCACAAGCCAGTGTGTAAAAATGGAGATGGAATGGGCAGTCGTTGGAGGTAGTATGTAAAACAAAGTAGGATTATAATACATAGCATATGTTATAATATAGCCTATATAAATACTCATAGATATGTTAAAAGATGTATATGTAAAGATGTTGATTGCTTGCATTAGCAAAAACTGTGAAGCAATTTAAATTCCTTCAGTAGGGGAATGGTTAAATAACTTATAGTGCATTGACACTAGGAAGTACTAGAAAAGAATGAGGTAGGTCTTTGTGTGCTGATATCGAAAGACCATCATAGGAAGACATGACAGCCTATTAATAGAGAGAATGCACTTGAGTAATATCTGTTAACTTTGAAAATTGATCTTAAAAAAATCAAGTGATGTTTCAGGAAGATTAAGGTGGTGACATTGTATTGAGTTAAAAGGGAATGATTAGAAGTGGAGAGGAATGTTGGGAGATGTGTGCATGAGGACAGATGTTCGGGGACCTGAATGATAAAGAGAAAGGTAACTCAGAGGCATATATTCTGAAGAATGACTCTGAATGACTTCATGATAGATTCTCTTTCTATTTTCCTTCTTCTCCTTCTCCTCCTGCTTCTTCTTCACCCCCCCCCCAATCACCTGCCTCCTTCTCTTTCTCTCTCTCCATTTCTTTCTTTTGTGGTAGTGGAGATAGAACTTGTTAAACAAGTACTCTACCACTGAGCTATGTCCCTAACACTCAAGTTCTTAAAACAAGGGATAAAGGAGAGAGAAGAGAAAAGATATTTCCTGGCCTATGCTTGGAAATAACCCTGAAAAGCTATTTCTACTCAATTGCACAAACCAATGTTAATAGGAAATTTTTCATATTTTTGTTTCTCAGGATGGAAGAAACAGTACGAAACCTACTGCAGAGTCAAGGATCTCCAGAGCAGAAAAAAGAAGAAACTGTTAATACACTGGTCTACCAGGTACATCACCTTTCTTACTACTGGGTGGACACCAGTCAGCTTCTTATGGAGCCATCCAGTCACATCTGGATTGAGGAATCATATACATGCTTAAGTCATTCATTTCTTGAACTCTAACTTTGAAACAGATCATAGATTTGATTGTAGGAAGTTGCAAAAAATATGGTGAAACAGAGACACCTATAAAAGCATTGTAGTGTCCTGTGGTCAGGACTACAAGAGAGGTGACTACAACATTTTCTGAGAACATAAAAGGAGTGACTCACAAATACTGAGAAGTTGAGGACTACTTTCCAGAGATGTGACATTTGAGATGGGCCTGAAGAGTAGAGAACAAGGAAAAGGGTATTCTGGGTAGAGGGGAAGATAGATTAAGATGCAGTGCAATGGTGTGAATTTTCACAACACTCAAGGTAACCAAATAATGACCTGCAAAGATGCAAAATTTAATGATGAGATGAAGGGTACACAGAAGAGCTGGATGAGTTCTGGGCCTATATGTCAAAGATAAGGGTCTGGCCTTGTACCTGGCTATGTAGAGTGTAAAGAGGTCCAAAGAGGAAATAGTCGATGAAATAACAAGCCATCTTCTCCTGCTGATAGTCCATACCCCACAGTCCTTGACATGAAGATGGTGGCCAGGCTAGTAAGCAGCACATATAGTCTGAGTGCGGCTCCAGTTAGCCACACAGATAAGGAGATTTTGGCAGGGTGGGAAAAAGAAATAGCACAAGCACTTTTAATGGATAAATTTAGGACTTTTATTGAAAATCCCTGAAAATCACAAATAGAGACACAGTACTCATTGTACAACTATTCTTGGAAAGTTTAAATAGCTAACAAAAGCAAGGAAATGGGCATAAATTTTAGGTAATCACTGGAGATCCCTAGGTCTTAGCTAACTAAAAAGCAAATGAATTTAGCAAGGCAAACATAGGAACCAACCTGTTAAGGAAGATTTTGCATCAGCTCACCAGAATTCATGTGTTCAGGGTTTTGCAAGCCAACGTATTATGAAGGGGATTGGGAAGAACCTGATAATAAAAGTCAAAGCATCATACACAGTTATAAGATTGTGGCATAGTTAGCCTTAAGAAGTCGGTGTTTTCAACAGTTGACTTGAGAGAACTCTGTGGCTACTTTATGAAGGTGGAGACAACTGCTCTCCATCTCCATACAGTACAAGGGGTTGCCCTGAGCTACCTCGAAGGAGATTTCAGTTAGTACCACAAAGACACTAGAAGGATTTCTGCAATCCAGTTCCTAGAGAAAGGGTGTAAGGTTTTTTTTCCTTGAGGTTCTGATCTTTAAGAAAGGCATGCATTCTCAGCTTTCCTGATATATGGTTGCCTAGCATTAGAATAAGGATGTAAGTCCCCCTGGCTTTGAGTCTTTCCTACAGCTTATGTTTGTTTGGTAGAAAGTTGAGGTATAAGTAAAGAGTGGAACTTGATTCAGCATTAAATGGTTCCATGTTGCCTAAAAAAGCCATGTGAATCAGGGATATAGATGATTTGTTCCCTCCCACAGGTGACATATGCTCTGTTGGAACTAAATAAGGCAGCACTGTACTTGGGCTTTTTCCAGTCTCCTGTCTGAGGATCTCTTATTCTGATTCTTATTTCCTTTGGATCACTTTTTCCCCTAATTTCTCTAATAGTTATTAGTCAAATATGTAGTGTGGACACTTAACATCATTATTAGAATTCATTTTGTGAAACTGGAAGCTACTTTCAAAAGCATAAACACTTGTAAAAATGTGTTTTTGAAACTATTTCCTCTCTACCCTGTCCATTAGTCTTAGAACATTATCTCTTCCTTCTCAAGAGACAATAGTTACTAATTTGAATTTATGCCTTAGAGAAGGGGTGTTTTAGTCATTGTTCTAATTGATGTTAGGCTTCTCATCTATGAAATGAGAAGGGGACATGGGTTACATGACTTCATAAAGGCAAGCTGTATATTTAAAAAAATTTGTTGTGTTTCTAAGACATACCTTTATGCTCTTGGAATTCAAGAAATGAGAAGAAAAAGAAGAGAAAGTGGTCTGCACAGCACTAAGGCCCAGGGAGGTCCCCTCCATTTGTCAAATTCTAGTATTCTAATATAACTCATAATAGCAAAATAGGTAATATAAGGTATACACATCGACACTAGTGGATCTCATAGTTATTACCTTCCCAAAAGCCAAATGCTCTGTTTGGGGCAAAAGCTGGGGAATTTATTGCTTCTTAACATAACATAACATACCTGATTCAGATTTTCCAGTTTGCACAGTTTCTCTGAAAGGACCTTGAGGCCCATGTAAAGCTTAGGCCCCTGGGAAAACTGGAGTTTGTTCTATTTTCCGTCCTGGTACAAACGTTTGTTCTAAAGCTGTTGTCATTGAGCTAGTACTGTAACAACAGAATGATAGCTTTCTTTGTTCCTGGCCCATACAAATTGCTTTTGTGTGCATTTGTTCAGTGGTGTGTTCTTAAAGACCTAATATAGTGCTTTTTGTATGATTTGTAACTTGTAGCATTTAGAATGAATTGTTTTGGACCATGATGGGTGTTACCATTCAGTAGCTGAAGTTAGTCTCACCTTGTGGTAATCAGTGGTTTACAGGTTTACCAGCTTGGTCACTGTTTGGTCCTTGACTTTTTTTAATTTTGAGAATTGTTATGATTTCAAGTTATGTGCCTGAAATGATATTAATAACATTTTTATGTGTCTAAAATTTCTAGTTTTCCTACTCCACCTAATGAGACTAGACTGTAACTCATTCAGTCCCCACAACAACTTTTTATGGGAGGTACTGTCACCATCCCATCTCAGTGTGGCCACAGGCTCACAGTGGTGAGCACTTGTCTGAGAATCCACAGGTAGGAAGTAGCATAGAAGGGATTCAAACCCTGACTCCACAGCCTCACCTATTATGCTCAGGAATTCTAAAGAGATTAATTGATGGGGCCCAAGTTATCCAGCTGGTTATTATCTTAGTTTAAATTGAGGCCCAAACCTGGGTCCCTCTCCTCTTTCTACCTAGAGCTGTCTTCATCTATTCATTTATCCATCCATCATCCATCCAAGTGACAGTTATTCATTTACTTTCTTATAGAAGTATATTGGTTTCTTCTTGCTACTGTAACAAACTTAGTGGCTTAATACAACACCAATTTATTCCCTGATTATTCTAGAAATCAAAAGTCTTAAAGCAGAGTTAGGGCTATGTTCTTCCTGGAGGCTTCAGAGGAGAATCATTTTTGTGCTTTTCCCAAAATCTAGCATTCCTTGACTTGTGGGCTTTTCTTCATCTTCAAAGCAGATCACTCCAGTCTCTGCTTTTGTCATCACATTTTATTTTCCTGTTTTGGTTCCTTCCTGAAAGAATCTTGTGATTATTTGAGACCCAATTGGATAACCCAGGATAATTTTCTTGTCTCAAGATCCTTAGTTCAACAAACCTGCAGAGTACCTTTTTGCTATGTAAGGTATCATTTTATCAACCCTCGGGGGTTGAGATGTAGACATCTTTGAGAGAGGAATTATTCCTTTTATTACATTTGGAAACACTCATTGGCCTAGCAGTAACCTGCAGACACTGTGCTAAATTCTAGAGATTCAAAGATGCCTGACATAGATTCAGTTCAGAGGTGGTAGAGGGAAGGCAAATAAGGATAATACATTCAACAGTGCAATAGAAGCTGAAACAGAAAAAAAGCTTGCACAGGTTCCAGAACATAAAGGAGAGTGCCATCTGTTGCTCTGTTCTCCCTGGAGATCTTACCACCTACCTAAGACCTAGTATTAATAATCCCTTCTTCTTTCTGTTGTCTCTTAAAATGCACAAGAGCATCAGCTTCCTCATAACTCCCATGATCTTCCTTTCTCAGAACATCTTATGCCCTCAGTGTTTTAGGACAAGTCTGACTGTCAAGACACATATGTTTGGTGCTTTGCAGTTTATAAAGCACTTACACAATGTGTTTGTTCTAGTAGCCTCTAAAATAGATGTCATCTTGCTCATCTTCAGACAATCTCTGGCAGATCTCTGCTGGACCTAGAAATCAGTCACAGATTCTCCTAGATGTGATACATGGAAAATATTCCATGTATCTGAAATATTTTGATGGTGGAGTGAAAGTGGGCACAGTCTAAAATTGCAGACTGCAAATCACAGTCTCAAAATACAAAAAGAAAAAATAAATGAAAGTAAGCTGAGATAATTTAATAAGCCATAAAGTGTTTGACTCTAGTCCCCTATGGAAGAGACAAGCATCTGAGTGATAAAACATTATCATTATGCACAGAGAAGGTGCCACGTGAACCGAGGACAAACTCGTTTCATTAGGGAAAAATACAAGACCTGAAGTGATGGTCTTTAGAGGAGTCCAAGGAAAAAACATCTGTTTCCCTCCTGCTCTGTTTAGTTTTCCAGCTCATTCTCTGTAGGTGTTTTGGGATTTCTTATGTGTCATGCTATATATTCTTATCTCTCAGGCTGCCATTTCATAACATAAGTTAGGAAACTTATGTTAGAAAAAAATCATAATTAGACATGAGAGAGGGCCATTAAGCATCAATGAAATAGAGCAACTGTTTGGAGAGGGACATCATTCTTCATCTGTCAAAATGCATACCCAAAGGCAGCCTGAGCGAGTGTGAATAATCCCAGCGCTGATGATCCCTTTACAGGCCACTTGTGGCCCAGTTACCTTCTGTGTTTCTTCATTATACCTGATGTACTTCCTCTTATTCCCCCTTTTCACTATGGAATGCGAATTGAATCACATTAGCTAATTTATTTAGGAAAAAAAATGTGTACGGGCAAGTAGAAGTTAGTAACTAGGGAGAAGAGACCCAAATTTGCCAACAGCCTTTGCCACTAACAAGACATGACCTCACATAGTTACTTAAACTCTGGGCTTCTTGTTTCTCATATCTCTAAAAGAACAGGTCTTAGACTAAATTAAGACCACAAATGTAAATGGCTGCAGTTGTCACTAACATGGGCC